TAGCATTAAATGCTGGGTAATAAATTGTTGAATAAATTGACAATATTTTTTTATCTGTATTTTTAAAAAGTGCATAAAAAATTTGATATGTTGCTATATATCCCACCATAAATTGTTTCATAGAACTAAAATGATGCCATAGTATTAGTGGTAGTATTTTAAACTCTGCATTAACGAATACATAAATATCAAACATTTTGTCACAAAACTTATGTTCTAATCTCAATAGTGAAGATTAAAATACAATATCAAGAAGTGTCTAATATTTGCTGTAATTTCTTCTTATCACAAGATCCGGATCACTGACTCTAGACTCATAAATAATAATGCTTAAATTACTCATTACAAAACTATATCTATTAACACTAAACCTACCAACATTATATGTATATCTATTCCTACCGGTGGTGGTCAAATTACCGTTTTTAAAATTTTCATTGCTAGTTGATTATTAGAAGAGGTTTATTGTTTATTTATAAAAAAATAAGATTTTTGAACACTATACATAAAACAATATAGGGTAGTTCTCTTTGATAAAAGATTTGTTGCCAAAGATAAGCTTGTAAAATAGTTATCAGGGGCTATATTTCTACCGCATCCTGTAAATGGAGCAGTGAGGAGTTTGGGAATAACTTCAGAAGGTTTAATTGCAATATATGTAACTATTATAATAAAATGATATAATGTTCAAAAATCTTATATTCTTTTTATAAATAAACAATAAACCTTTTCTAATAATCAACTAGTCTAGAAGTACATATGTATGAAATGTATGTATATGTATGAGATATGAAACATAATGAATAATAGACACCAAAAAATTAAATGATCTTATATTACAGAAAAAGTCATGCCTTAAGTTGAAGAAATATAAAAACCAAATTTAATAATCCCGACTAAAGTTTCAAAAGCGGTCATTTGACCGATCTGGTAGGTTTAGTGTTAAATATCAATAAATTACTTCATGTTTAACAAGAAATTGTAATGCTTGTAGCATGTAAATGAGTATTTAAATTGTAATAGGAAATAACTATTTAAAGAGATTATATGCAATGTGAAGAGCAAATCACAATAAAATAGAAACAATTAATAATAATAAGTAATTATTTACAATAATATTTATTTTATATTACTTATTACGCAAAAATTTTAATTCAATCAGGTTCTAAATACAAGTGCATTAAATTTCGACTATTTAATACAATTGTTTTTTATAAAATACCAAACAATATTTCATGTTAAAACATTATCTTAAAACTTTCACTTGATTTATTTTGTACCTTTTCTTGTTAAAGCATTAGTAAACAGAAATTAAATTATGCTATTGGCATACTTTCTAATACCTTGCCTGGTATTACTTGGCTTTGAAGCATTCCTCGACTTCTACTTCCTTCACTTCGACTGTAATAGTTCAATTTAATGATTTCACTTAAATTTTAATACTGATTCTTAAAGCCCAAGCGCATGCATTCATTAGCAGTAGTATTGAATGAAAAATGAAAAGTGTCATTCAGTTTTCAGCAGAAAATTCTTGAAGAACTCTATGTGGGGTAAATATGCTACTGCTTAATGTTGCATAATCATCATTCAGATCTAATGAAGCATTTAATGATGTTCCCCTCATCAGTGGATTTATTGTAGCATATGTATTGTCAATCTATAATATGAATATGATTTTGTAAAATAGATACATTGCTCTAAATATCATCAAACTTTTTGAAACAGAAATATTTGGCACACTATAAATGAATAGTAAAGCATCAAAATGAATAATACTCATTTGAGAAAAGATGCTTTTGATTCAACTTGAGATCGATAAAATTTTGTAACATTAATATTATGTACCTGTAATACATCAACAATTTCTTTTCCTGGTGCAAGAACTTCCGGATCACTAAAGACTTGCATTGTTAACTCTTGCTCTTCATACAATTTCAATTTCCTGAAAGCAAAACAATGAAATAAAATATATTCAAATTTTAATCTCTACATTTTAAATCTTTCAAATTCAAAAAGTTTAACTTTGAAAATATACTCTACAAAAATTAACAATTGTGAGATATAAAACACATTAAAAACAACACTTAAATCTAGGTAACAGATTAATTAATGCCCACATGGAATTTGTAAGTAAAATATCAAATCTTTCTCTTTTCCCAACCAACATTTTTAAATATCTAGCTTTTAGTACTCACTGCTCCATCCACAAAGGATTTTCTGTAGTGTTGATGCTTTCTACGCTTTGTTTTTCAATCAATTCTCCCATTCCATTTGAGCTGTATACAGGTGCTGTATATTTCCTGTAACAGGTAAACATTGCCAATTAGTATATAATGACCTATCATAATAAGCGTTCATATAATTACTCACAAAAATAATAAATATATTTATTTTAAAAGAATTTTACATTGTTATAATATGATACATTTTGTGTTAACAAAATTCATTTATTCATGGCCTTAAAAATTAATAATGAAGTTATAAAAATTGTAATACCCAAATCTTAAATTTCATTAATTACAAACAAAACTCAAATCGACATTATAATAATGACTTTTCATATTAAAATGAAAGAAATTCGATAATATTCAGTTAAAAAAATCAATATCCATTTAAAAATCTAAATATATATGTAGTATTTGGAAAGTGTAGATTTGAATTTGAAACTCTTTACTGTACAATTTTTTGCAGCATTTTATGCGCATACTCATAGGTATACATATATAATCATTAGTTAAAATCAACAATCTCCGACAATCAGCGACGACAAACTACAAACGTTTCTAGAGTATGAAAAATATGATTTTTCGTACATAATAATATAATATTGTTTCTACATCGCATAATACATCTTCGCGCTTAAGAAGCGTCTTTTATCGGTCTCTGAAAAATCGTCTTAAAGGGATTAAATTACTGTATATCATTTCCATAAAAACAGATATTAAGAGTGGATCTCTCCAAAAAGGAAATAAGAATTAATTTAGGTACTCAAATGAGAAGATATTACCACTAGGTAAGATGAAATTATTAAAAACATGAGTAAAATTTAACATCAATATTGAAACTAGTGAAAACAGAGTGTCGATGAACAAGTCATGCACTGATTTCCTGTTTACTATAAAATAAACTCAATCTACACTATGCAATGTACCATTGTTTTAAGGAGCAGCAAACAACCAACAGAGCAACAGCTCCGATGAAAAGCATCACGGTCAATGCAATTACTGCACCCAGCGCAGCGCCAAAAGTCCTTTCAGATCGTTCTCTGAATGCAGGAACAATGTTTTCCACGGCATAACCAGCATAATAGTCAGTCAGTTGATCATATTTCTCATCTATATCCCGTAATACATCACCGGTTGGTGCGATTTGTAGACTCGTCGGATCGACAATGTGAAGATACATATCAGACCAGTTATCGCGCACATTACCTGATGAAGTAATGAACTTAATAGAGTTAATATTCTGCAATTGGAATTTTCATTACTCAAATAATCAAGCTACAATTTGTCAATGCATCTATACACAAAACTATATCATTTAAAATTGTATTCAGACCGCGATTCTTGAAATTCGCAACACTATTTGACCTGATCTTTTTTCTATATATTGGAATGATAAAGATTGTTCAGTTCAAGAAAATTTATGGAGCCAAAATCTAAGCTTACTTGACGTCAAGATTCTAAACATTTAAAATTAGAAAATTAAATCAGTGTCATAACAAGTTGTGAAATTTTCGGAAATCTTACCGATCATAATTATTCGCAAATCGGAAAATTTCTGAATTAATTGAATAAAAAAAACAGTTATGGTTTTAAATAGGCCTATGTTTTTTCTCTTTTAACTTAAAACCCGATTACAAAAATCTAATCAATAAATAATGTGTGATCAAATAAACTTTGATGTATAAAAATACATAAATAAAACATCTTCACAATTTAAATTGCATGCATAATACTAATAAATTATTTTTAAACAACATCCCTACCAATAGAATCAACATGATATCTTATATCATCAACAACGACTAGTCTTCCAGTTATATTCGACAATTCCGTTAATATTTCTTCTTGGCGGGCGTAGATCTCATCAGCAGGTTGTGAAAATATTACTCGTATTAATTGCTCTGGATTGTATACCCAGACCTAAAATAATTTACCAACCAGATTAGATTTAAATTATTACAAATGATAAAGCCTATAGTAAAAGTCACATACATTAAATCTTTTCACCTGAAGTTTTACATAATACTTTTCCTATTTGCTTTTCTTAATTTATGAGCTATTAAGAAACTATATATATGTAATAGATACATATAAAAATAAAAGTAAAGTAAAATACAATTCTATTTATAATTATAATTATTAATATAATAAGTATAATAAGGAAACAAAAGCATAAAATTTACTATTAATATAGTTCAAAATTAAAACATTATAAAATTATAAAAATATCAGAGTGAATCCTAGCAATCAGACTCCGATTTATGAGCAGTTTAAAAAATCAGAAGAATTTGTTTTAAAAATCAGTAGATGTTGTGATTTTGAAGGTGACCCAGTCAAAACTCTAAAGTAATAAAACTTTTTCTAGTTCTTTACTTTAGACTCTTACATAAAAATGAATAATAACTTGGTAGTTACAGAAATTTATTTCCACCATTTAGTTTTGATTCAATACTACTATAATACTTACATGCACAACTGCATTTGCGCGTCGATTCGGCTCAGATACTTCTTGAGCAGAAATTTCAAGCAAGAAACGTTCCTGGTCGTACCCCAACATATGCTCTGCTGTCGAAATTCTACCGTCTGCAGCTATGATAAATGGCGGCGGTACTAGAGCTCCGCCAATGGCACTAGTGCTACTAAATTGAGACTGCAAAAATATTCTATTATATAGAGTATATATATATAAATGTGATTTAAATTAATACTAATTAAATATTCAAATAAGAGCATTCACATCTATAGTATGATGCTTTCAGATCCTGTATATATTATAGTGATAAACAAAAAAAATTTAATATGAACTTGAAGCACAATAAACTTTATCTGTAGTACCTAGATCTGGTATAAATGTCTCAATGCGTTAATGATTAAAAAAATGTCAATGTGCATAAACTGACCTGATTGCCATCAGAAGGCATAGCAATAGTTCGTTTGAGTCTTACGGCATCTAAACTGTAAGTCAATGTCCCATTGAGTCCTTGATCAGGGTCTGTAGCAATCACCGAAATAACTGAATCTCCAGGAACAGCGTACGAGTTTATACCTAAAATTTATAAATACATAGATACTGTAATTTATATATATATATATATATATATATATATATATAAATGAGACATCACTAAATAAGTCCATAGAATTCTTTATATTTGGGTAAATATTGAATAATTCTTACGATTATATGGCGATCATTAGTTGAAACGCGGACTTTAGAATTTCCATAATCTGCAATACATGTTATAGGATCCTATTAGTATAATCCTATTATACTAATGTAATTTGAACTACGATCTTTTTAAAATTTTAATATCCAAATATAAATATATCAATAATCATATGGATTTATTAGGTGATAAGAAAACTCACCTGCATAATATAAAGATTTACTAAACACAGGCGGGTTGTCATTTTCATCGGTAATATATATTTCAACCTTTGTCAAACTTTTATCAGTTGCTGAATCTGATTTCATAAGACTCATACTTTCAGATATATTGAGATTAGCATTATTACTTGCGTGTATATACAAAGAATATAGTTCTTTTTCTTCTCTATCAAAGACTGCATTTGTATATAAAATGCCTTCTTTTTTGTCAATTTTGAATGAGTTATTACCATTACCCAAAATAATATAATAATATATGACAGCGTGCGGTTCATCATCTTGATCTATCGCTTGTACTTTTCCAATTCTTGTATATCTTTCAGAATTTTCTTTCAAATAAAATTGATAATTGACTAAAAATGATGGCTCGTATTTATTAGTGCCTACAATCACAACAGTCAAAGTTCTCAACGTCTCGTGCGATAGATGATTTGCTTGGTCTTTGGCAACTAATATCAACTCATAAATAGATGACTTTTTACGGTCAATAAATTGTTTTATTCGTAGTTCTCCAGTAACACTGTCTATTATAAAATGATCTGTTTCTTGGACATTGTTGTTGCTGACCTTCAAATGATATGTCACTCGACCATTGTCACCGTAATCATAATCGACAGCTTTTACAGTCATGATCACATGACCTGGTAGAGCAGCATTTTCCAGTATTTGCACTGTACTGTTTACTAACTGAGGATTTATAAACACAGGTCTATGAATATTTATACCAGCCACAAATACCGAAATTGTTGTAGAAGCAGTGTATACTCCTGTGCCATTTAAATCTTTGGCTTCAATAATCAAAATGTATTGACCCGTGTGGTTCAATAAACTCATTGCTGGATAAAGAATTCCTGTAGAAGGATCTAATTTAAATTTTCCATCTTCATTCCCACTTTTGATCATGTATTGGACAGTACCATTGAGTCCAGAATCTGGATCCTGCGCGTTAACTTGTAAAATAGCTGTAGGCGGAGAAACAGCAATGTTTTCATCTACTGAGCCATGATAAATATGATGTTCAAAAATTGGTCCATTATCATTTTCATCTAAAATTTTTATCAACAAACTTGCAGTTGCCGTTTTTCTTATGGCGTCGGGTGCATTATCAGAAGCTATAACTGTTAGGTTTACTTCAGTGTGCAATTCTCTGTCTATGGTCGTTGCATTAGAAACATATACTATCCCGTTCATTTCATTGATCATGAAATAGTTATTAGGTTCGCCGTGTAGAGAATATGTTAAATCTCCAAACATGCCCTCATCGTCATCCGTGGCGTAGACTTGTCCTACCACTGTACCAGGTGAAGAATTTTCCAGAATGAGCATTGAGTAAGAACTCTGATTGAAAATAGGCTTATTGTCATTAATATTGACCACTGTGACAGATATTTGCAAACTCGTGTTCAAAGGAGGAATGCCATCATCAATAGCTATTAATGTAAAATATATAGATTTTATTTTTTCAAAATCTATTCTTCTTTTGCTTTTAATAACACCCGTTGTATTTTCTACTTCAAAATATGCATTTTCTGGAATTATTTCGTACCGCGCTATGGATGAATCTACATCTGTTGCAACATAAGTGTCCAGCACTGTGCCTATCGGCTGTTCTTCTAAAACTTGCACAAAACTCGATTGGTTCCGATGCATTTTGGAATACTGAAAAACTGGCGGATATTTATTTGACAAAACAATTGATATAACTAATGTTCCCTTTCCTATTTGTAATGTGGGGGCGCTTGTATCCTGAACAAACACAGTTAATCGCAAACTGCATAAGAATCACGTTGTAATTTTTGCGTTGTACGAACGACTCCAGTAGCTTCATCGACTGAGAATAAATCCTTATAATTTTCCTCGCTTGTGATTGGATTTCCATTTTTGTCTACGGCGGTGATCGAACTTCCCAAAGAAAAACTCAAAAAATCAGTTGAATTAAGGTCAGGATCTTCTGCAGATAATTTATAAATCGCTTCTCCTACATTTACGTCTTCTAACACTTCAATATACTGTATAGTTGGAGTAAAATATGGGCTTTTATCATTCACATTTAGTACATTGACTACCAAAGTTGCAGTACCTGTAAGGCTGGGGCTTCCGTAGTCTTTTGCAATAATTTCTATATTGTATGTTTTTCTTCTGTCGTAATCAAGCTTTTTAGCTACTGTCACTATGCCGTCATTATTTCCAATAACAAAATCTTCCAGACCTCCTTTTTGAATTCCATAAAACAATTCAGCATTGCGACCCTTATCATTATCCTTTGCAGTAATCTTAGTTATCACTGATTTTAATTCCACACTTTCTAGGACATCTATTTCTTGGTAACTCTGTATAAATATTGGTGCATTATTATTGACATCTCTTATAGTAAAATTCACTAAACACAGTGCTGAATGTAATTCATCACTGGCTTCAATAGCTAAAATATTCGTTTCGCCAAAAGCATTTGCCAGACCATTAGCTGTTGCATTCCTCAATTTTATTTCACCAGTAAAAGAGTCTACGGCAAAAATATCAGACATATTTTTAGTATGCAGCTTATATTTTATCTCAGAAGTCACATCATCATCTTTAGCCAAAACAATAAGAGGAATAGAAAATTCTTTAGAATCCTCATCTAAAATAACATTTTGAGTTGCTGGATGGCATACAGGCGTGTTGTCATTAGCATCCAGCAAATTTATCATTAGTGATACCACACTACTAAGCCCATTACCATTGTCATCAGTCGCTTTCAAGGTTAGGTAATATTTCTGCTTATCCTCAAAATCCAAACATGGTTTAACCCCAGGTGTCTCGCATTGAGCAACTGTGATTTCACCCGTTTTTCTGTTAACATTAAATAGTTCCACGCCGCTGCCAAACATTTGATAAACTATACCCTGCTTTCCAAAGACTCCACTGTCATAATCCATGGCTGTGACGGACGTCACGTAGCTACCAGGCAATAAGTCCTCAGAGATGCTGGCACTATAATCATCTTTTTCAAATTTTGGTTGGTTGTCATTTGTATCAGTCATAGTGACTGTAAGTGTAGCCGTAGAAGAATGTTTTACGGTCCCGCCAATTTCTTCCGCTATCACAAGAACTATAGATTTCCGTTGATTAGGATTTTCATAATCTAAAGACCCTCTTGCCAGACGAATACTGACAGATGAAGATCCAGAAACTTCAGTAGGTTCCACTTCAAAAACACCAGTCACATCTTCAAGGCGCAATGTGAATAATGCATTTTGACCCTGATATATAATATAAAACATAATAATTTAATATGATGAGATTTCAAAAAGCAAATTATCAAATATAAACTTGATTTTATATTCCTATATAATTATGTAATATACCATCAATAATTTTCTTTGCATATTTTATAAACTAGACAATTCGAAAACAATTTATTTGAATTTTATTAATTGTTATCTTTCAATTATGTTAAGGGGGAAAGTTCATATAAAATTCTCAAAAAAAAGATTTTTTTCTTCTTCGATAATCTGCAAGTATAGTATGTTGAGCGTATATTGACGAGTCGACAAAAAAAAATCTCTTATATTAACAAAATTATAGCTAACATAACGGGGCGGGTCGGAGTGCGCATTGTCAAGCGATCAAGCGTATTGTTAAATTTCAAGTGAAAGGGTCTCTTCCATCTTAATAACTAGAAATACTTCTTTTGTCCTACAACCAGAAGACTTCTATGTACCTTAGTACATGTAGAATATTGGTATACGAACAAAAGTTAGTCAAGAAATATAGTTAGTTTAGCTGGAAAATTCGTAGTGTTCAGTTCATTTCAATACGTAAAAATGCCGAATTATCTAAAAGGTAAGCGAAGTAATGAAGTAATATTGCACAAAATAACACTAAAAAAGACGTTATCAGGGCAAACAGTTTACTGATAAAGCAGGTGAAAAAATTGACGCCAGTACAAGTCATAATAAAAGTGCCAGTGGTCAAGATCCTCTAGACGTAGATTTAGCTCCATTACTTGGTAAAGAAATGCAACAGCATCTTTCACCAATATATGAAGATTTGTCCAAAGACGATTTACTTGAACGATGCCTTGGTGATCATACGCAGAACGCGAATGAAAGTTTCAACGCGACAGTTTGGCGACTATCACCAAAAGACCCACAGTGTGGACAAAGGGTAGTTGAAATTTCACCATATATTGCAGCTAGGATATTTAATGAAGGTTTGAGTTCAATATTAAGAATAATGAACCTTCTGAATTTGACTGTTGGTACTTATGCTAAAGCATATGCTGATAATACTGATGAGGCGCGAATAACTTGACAGGATCGTAGCAGCCTTTCACAAATAAAAGATGCTCGTACAGCTCGCAAACAACAACAACTTACAGAAAATCAGCTTTTTGAAGATAAGGAAGGACTATTTAATGGACCTGGGAATGCAGATTAATCGGTAAGTAACTAAAACTGGTCATTTTCCTTTACTAAATCTTTAAACGCGATTATCTCGAAACTGTGTTTTCAAAAACTGCTCGTGTTGTAGCTCAAAAAGTTATGTATCGATTTGTCTGAAATTTGGTGAGGCTTTTCTCTATATTATTATCGGAAGGATAAACCTAAATCTTTAGATCTTTCGCGTTGATAAAGTATTTTCTGGGGTCCAAAATGTCAAAAAAATAGCCACAAATTCAGATTTTTTTTTCAAAGGCTTGTTTTTCATTGAATTTTATACTTTTTTAAAATTTTATAGGTTTATCCTTTCCATTAATATGTTCTCAAAAGAAAACATTAAAATAAATTTTTTTCAGATCGATGGTTGAGTGAGAAATGCAGCAGTTTTGGACCTCGCGCCGGAGGCAGTCCACAAAAAGTTATCTCGAGCCGCCATTTTGAAAAAATAAATAAATCTTTGAAATAAAAATCTCTTTTTGTACTCTAAAAGGGTTAAATAAAGTTGTGTTAAAGTTTAAAAACAATAAAATAATTACATCACGTTTAAAAATATGTTTAAAATATGACCTATTTTTATGCGTCTATATGGACTTCCCCCCTTAATTCCATTCTTTGAGAATAACTAGAACTTTGTCAACACAAGTTCTGATATTTAAATTTATACACTAAACAACAATATTAATATAAATGTATATAAATAAGGTCAAATGTTGAAACTCAAAACTAAAAGTAAGACTCTAGTAAAATAGACCATAACAGTGTTGGTATGGCAACCCTATATTATGTTTATTTCTTGGTACTAAAAACCGTGAAAACATTATATATTTGTTGTGCAGTCAAACATATGAAATTACATTACACTAAATACATACCACATCAGGATCATGAACAAACATATCAAGATTAGGTAAAGGTGTTCCAATAGGTGTGTTTTCAGGAATGGAAATACTATATTCGGCGTGGTTAAATATTGGCGGAGAATCATTAACATCTTTCACTGTTATAAAGGCTATCGCGGAAGTAACGGCATCAGATGAATCTACAGGTGCTGATCCAATAACTTCTTGTGCCTAGGATAAAGAAAAACAATATATTTAACAATGTATTACAATGTACAATATGCTTTAAATCAAAATTGAAAATACATTCAGTGATAATAAACAGTTGACATAATAATTCTTCTTTGATCAAATGATTCAAATTCTTGTGTATACATACAAATGTAAATTACCTGAACAGCTATTGATATAACTCCCGTAGCATCTGATAAAATTTCCCTGTCAATAGGCCTACCAGTTCGCAATTCTCCATTCATAGGATCTAATGTGAAGTAATTAAAAGGATCTGCAAAATATAATTTTTAGTCATTTATTCAACATAAATATTGAACTTAATGCAATACTTACTGTTAATGAGAGAGTATCTAATTTCTCTCGGTGACCCTTTATCTCCATCTCTTGCTAAAAATGTCATCACCAATGTTCCAATAGGGGCATTTTCTGCTAATACAGCAGACAGAGATCCAATAAAAATAGGCGGAGTGTCTTGAACATCTTGAACGCGCAGTTCGACGACTGATGTGCTATTGAACAGTCCATCCTAAGAGTGTTACATTTCCAAATTTATTAAAACGATTGAAGAAACTTTATTAAATCAAAATACCTTGTTTTCAATGAGTTCCAAATTGTAATAATTTAATCGAAAGCTTAAGCTAAAGTATTATTTCTAAAACTAGGAAAATACTCAAATTAATAAATAAGTTATTTGTAAGCTAATTAAAATTCAGTAATCTATTGTAGTCATAAATTTTAAATGAGCACAACCCACTTCATTTTAGATAAATAACCTGCATGTTCTCAATTATCTTGAATTGCAGAACTTATGCATAAACTATTACTTACTGAAGTAATTATTTCAATTTGGTGTATTTGATTCTGATCGTAGTTTAACAATTCTGTCGTGATAACAGCACCTCTGAATTCACTTTGAGATGCTGATATAGTAACAACCTGCAATATTTGAAATTATTAAAAAAAATGCCTATATATATTATATCATATTATGTACACACTATGTCTGTGTATTTACATGTGTGTATGAAGTGTCACTGAGTATTAAAATGAGATTACAAATTGTGTTACAATAATTAAACACATACAATGATTTCTCAGTGAAAGACTATTATTACTTAAGACTGATTAGATAATGGATGTATTAATAAACGACACACTATGAAAAAATATTCAAAACAATGTAAAATAATATCAATAACAATATAAAGCAGTAATTTTTCAAGGTTTCTTATATCGGTCTTGATAAAGAGTCCAGGTGGACAATTGCTAGAATCAACAGTTCTTTACTGGTTTAATCAGAATGTACTTTTAATTTGCATACTCATGATTATTATTAAGTTGCTGCGCCGTAATAAGCAATATCTTAATTTGAATATTCTAATATTTAGAAGAACATAAACCACTTAATTCACTTCAAAATTGACTTCAATACATCCAAGAATCATGCAATAGAATATGAAGGACACAGCATATCAAAAGTGTATGTTTAATGTATTATTAGGATTGCTCTGCATTTTTTAATATAATATTGTAAATATTACATTATATATTTTACTTTATTTACAATAGGTTACTAACCTCAAATTTACTACAAGCATCAGGATTATTTTCAGAGTTGCATGTGACTGAAAGTGTTTCACCAACTGAGTCAGGATCAGTTACTAAGATACCAGAAAAAACTGTGGTGCCAATAGCCACATCTTCAGCTGCTTCTGCTTCGTATGGAAGCTAATTTCATAAAATTAGAGTTATTGTCAGACATGTGCATATTAAACATTATTACAATATTTTATTATTAAATTGTAGTATTTATAGCATATATACATTTATACATATATTATTGCATACATACACACTTTCATATACACACACACACGACATATAAAACATGTACACTTGTGTTGTGTACAACAACGCAACACAATTATTTTATTACCTAACTGAAATTTAACATCCTGCCTCCATGGCCTGGAAGTGTGGCAAATGAAAATATATCAAATATTTAACATGTTAATTATTATATACATTATAAGCAATAAGCAAAATATTAAAAAAGTTTATTAAAATTTTTGTTTTTAAAGATGTGAAATTTAAATTAATTAATTGTAAACATATGATGTAAGATAATTATGCACATAACTTACATTAATAAATCTTGGTGTGTTGTCGTTATCATCCAATATAATAACAGATATAGCTACTTTCACAAAGTTATTTCGAACTTTGCCGAATGAACCAGTTTCTGTGGGTATCAAATCCTCCAATGTTACAAAGAATTTCAACGTATCTTCAGTCTGCCAAAAATGCAAAAAAATAAAAACATTAAATTTTGAATGTAATTTATGCACTTGCCAAAAAATCATTTAATTCATTTGTTGCACAAGATATAACTGAAAATTATAGTTACAAGTTTCTACCCGATTCTGGAAACATTTTATCAAAATGTTCACTTTAATATTTTTTTAAGAGAATTCAAAGTTTTTACACTTTTATTATTAAGTTCGTAACTATATTCAGTAAATGTTGCTGTATTGTTTGTTACTGTGTTCAAATATATATTTAAACTATTTGCATCTTCAACTATTGAACTTTAAAGATTGATAATTTTTTGCATGCTTTGAAAAATAGAAATATTACTGTTATGCATTTAAAGATTTATGTTGGATTGTTATAGCATTATTAATTGCATATACAAAGAAGATTATTAAACTCCATACAAATAAAATAAATAAAAATTTTATTAGTACAAATGATTTGTCAAGTTTTATTAACTACAAGTATCTATTTTATCTCACTTCTCGGTCCAACTGTTTGATGATAGTTACGTCTCCAGACTCCGGATCCACAGAAAAGTGTTCAGTTCCAAGCAAACCGTAAACCACAGGCGATCCTTCAGGATCATGACCCTTTAACGTATATACCAAAGAACCCACTGGTGTAGACTCCAGTAAAGTCAGCTGGTTCATATCTTGGTCAAATACTGGTGGATGATTTGAATATCCGAATACACTTGCTAATGAGTAAGAAAAGGCTATATTTCAAGTAAGCAAATAAATATATGGAACTGTATTGCAAATAAATAAATTGTTTTTTTAGTATATAGATTTGTTTCAAATTACATCAAGCAAATTAATTACAAATGCACGCATAATTTATAACATGTCAGAACTATAATCTTAAGCTCAGGATTTGGTCAGTTAAAACATGAACTAAAGACATATTTATATGATATAGTTATTGAATTTTCGTTTTTCAAAACTGTAATTTTCATCTTCAATAGTTGGGAATTACATTTGGATCAAAACCCAAAGAATGAAATCTAAAGCACATATCTCGAAGCTAGGCAGTGGTTCTGTAATTTATATAAAGCAGATTCGCTTGTAGATGAAATGAGAAACAGATATTACTTATGGATAATAGTATGAGAGGAGTCTTATTCCAAGGAAATAGAAAAATAAAAAAAACAACTACTACTATTGATGACAAAATTATGATGTCAACCTAAGCATGGTGTAAATTTAACTTAAAATTTTTGTGAATGTGCATTTCATTATTGTTAACTACATTAGAAATAATTATGCTGACCATTACCTAAAAACATCCATCCTGTCACCAAAAATATTCGTAAACTAAATGTTGCGGATACCATGTTGAGTTCTATAAAATAAAACACATGATATTATTATATATCACCAATAATGAAAACATTTGATAATGTTTAGTAATGTAATCTAATTTAGTAGGTAATGTAGTCAGTAATATACATAATCGAAATAGACTTTATTTTGATCACACCTTGTCCTGACAATATATTTAATATAGGCCTTGAGCATACACAGCAGTTTTAATATAATAAAATATTATGCAAACTGACGTTAAGCTCTGGCCACAAAAATACCACTGATCACTAAAAACATTAAATTTTAAAGAAAAAAAATGTTTGCAAAACATACGAGTTTTATACATAGTTTTAATACTTGGAAAATATGCTAATGAAAAAATATTGATAATTTATTCAGTGACCAGTATGATCTTTAATTGATTTATTCATTTACATTTATTAAATATAACACAGTTTTAATATAACCTATTCATGCAGATATTGAACAGAATATTTATTTCCTATATTAGGTTATTAAGTTATATAGGTTTTTATATAAAAATTAAATTATTTTGTGTAGTTGTAGTAAATAAACAATATATAAATGCATTTCTTTTTAATAAAACTGAACATTACTTTTGAATACAAATAAATAAGAAAATGTAACTAATTCTATTTCGCATGGGTATAAAATTCGAATATAAAGTTATGAATAATAACAAATAGATTTCAATTAAAAAGCTGAAAAAATCGAAGCATATAAGAATATGTTAAAACGTCGAATATGACGTTCATTAATTATCGTCTACCATAAATTTGTAAATTTAAATAACTTATTTTGTAAGAAGAAATTTCGCATATAAAAATCTAGGAAAAGTTACAACACACACATTACCATTATATGAAACCTTTCTCTTTTTCTGAATTATAAGAACTATGCCTTGCATAAGAAATGCATATTATATATATATATATATATATATATATATATATATATATATTCGTAAATATTATTCGTAAATATTGTTCGTAAATATTATTACAAGATTGAAATCATCTTTACAAAAAGAACCGTTACGCATAGAATTAATAACACATTGAATTATTCCAGATACAAAACATATTTGTACCAATGAAAATATGAATAGTAAAAAATTGAAGCAAAATATATCTAATATATCATGTGTTAATTGTAAAATATGTCCAGATTTTTTTATTGATGAAATGAATAAAATATATAGTTACCATAAGCTGATTCTTGGCAATGTGTTTCGCATTATGCCACTTTATTAATTTACACATTAATAAAACAAATATATATATTCACTACATTTTCAATTATCACATCACATTGAATATACAGAATTGAAAAATAAATTACTCGTTACACTAAATTCGTGAATAATATTTAAGGTATTTAAGAATAACAGGAATTGACATTTGAGGCGTGTAAACGAACCAGTGCGACCTGTCGCCGAGATGCATGAACTGTGAAGTGCTTAATGAGTGCTTACCGTAATTCTGGCATGGAGTATGTAAACAACATGGATCAAATACATTTCTTCCGTATTTGGAAAAAGTCTTTACTATGGCCGCTGCGTGCGAGCATATATATCCTAGACAATATAATAAATAATATATATATATATATATATATATATATATATATATATATATATATATGTTAAAGAAGTTAGTTTTGATATTGAAAAATATGAGTAAGTTCTTCAAGGGCATACATCAAATAAAAGGCAAAGATTTAGAAGTTAATCTTTAATTTTTCCAAACGTTTCGACATAGTATTTTATGTCATCATCAGTGGATATAAATATGGTCTTACATCAGTAGCTAGCGCAAGTCACATAATTTTGCACTATCATATATACACTAACTTGTTTTTTTTTATTATTTTGTTGAACAGAGCATAGCAAAATATTTGTGAAATATATAATATATTTTGCACAGAGAACGTAGTTTATGTGACCGAGCCCGAGGCTGTAGTTGACTACAAAACAAAATAATAAAAAAAACAAGTTAGTGTATATATGATAGTGCAAAATTATGTGCCAAAATTATGACATAAAATACTATGTCGAAACGTTTGGAAAAATTAAAGATTAACTTCTAAATCTTTGCCTTTTATTTGATGTATGCCCTTGAAGAACTTATTCATATATATATATATATATATATATATATATATATCTTTATATATATATATATATATATATATATATACATTATATATATATATCGTCGTCCTTCAAAATAACATGATAGGAAAATATCAAATACGTTCTCCCCAGAAAATTCGACTTGTAAATTTTATATTTTCTCGACGTTTCAAGTGTATATGAAAGTGTATATGATACGATTTTTGACTTTCGCCAACGTTTTTCTCAAATTAAATCGATTAAATCGGTTAAATCGATTTCAAAATTTTTTAAACCATTTGATATAACTCGATAACGACTATCGTCCGTTAGTTTTGTGCAGCGATCGATCAAGCCGTTTCTAATCAACGGAAAAGTTTTCGTACACATTTTAGCCAAAAATCCTGCATCGATTTTAAAAATTAAGAAACGATTCAATAGGTATCATTTCAGAAACCTGCTGATTAGTTTTGAGAGATCGGTCGATCGGATATTTAATTGTTAAAGATTTTTTTGATTATTATAAAACTATTTTGGCGATAAAGGTCTTGGTCTAAAACATAGGTATCTAAAAAATATTATATATAGGCTATATATATATATATATATATATATATATATATATATATATCCGATCGGTCGATCGGATATTTAATTGTTAAAGATTTTTTTTGATTATTATAAAACTATTTTGGCGATAAAGGTCATGGTCGAAAACATAGGTATCTAAAAAATATTATATATAGGCTATATACGATATCGTATAAATATATAGGTAGCTAGTTTGAAAAAATAAGCAGCGCCTTTTTACCATGATTTTGTCAAAATTTAATCTTTAGTCGACGTTTTCTTAAGAATGCGCAATCCGAATTGAAAAGTCGATGAAATTCCATAAGCTCTCGTGCTCACGATCGGCCGAGCCGTTTCTTTAGACTTATCAAAAAAGTGTCAAATTTTTCGTGTACGTTATAGCTTTAATTCGTGAATCGATTTTTAAAATTCTAAAACCATTACAAAGGTGCCATTTGAGAATCGTGCTGGTTAGTTTAGCCGTTTTTTGATTCGAACACGCTTTGAATACGGTTGCGAATAAATTCAGGGACCTTCAGTTTGGCCGCCTCATAATCCAGTCGTCTTTTAATTTAAGTGAATTTTTAAAACGACCGCTTTTCGTTTTGGCCGCCTTTCAATTTGTTCTTTACCTGATTTGGCTGCCTGCGTGCGGTGCACGCATGCCCTGATTATTTGTCAATCGTTTAAGCATATTTAAATGTTAGAATTTGCTTAGGTGATTCAGTAGTTTTAATTTCGAAAATTGAAAACACCAAGTGGGTAAAATTATTAACTGTCTTCGTGAAAAGTTTCATGTCCATTCTTAGCACCCATAGCATATTGAATGATAAGAATCATGCATATTAAAATGTAGTAGAAAGAAATGTAGTGCCAGCTTTAAATGTTTTAACTTATGTTTTAACAAGCCCTTATAACTTTGTATTTTTTAGACTAGTACGAAGACAATATAATTACATTACATATTTAACTTAATTTTACATAAATTGGTTTTAGAAAACCAATTTATCCATTACGTTAATTAATTAATTTTAATTGAGGATATTGTAATACAATCGATCTGAAACTGAACAATGTATTTAACCAATAATCATTTTATTTTTTAGAACTGTTATGTTCCATAAAAGGCATTTGTTTTAATGCAGTAAAATAAATTATTCGTTTGTTCTATTATTATATAGTTGCAATATTACCTGCTACAATTTATTAAATTATCCAGAATTCTATCAGATACAAGGTTGATTTTTTGTCACCTTGAGTTCCGCACTCGATTGAATTCTTATGTTTTATCTGAAGATGTTTCTGAATCATTTATTAGTATTTTATATTTACTTAACACTTTTCCCCAAAAAAGCAAATTCAAACATCAATAACATCTATATTTGAAATAAATTGCACAATAACTTGTTTTCATAAATATCTCATAGATATTAAAATTACATAAGTTTAGATACATTGCAAATCATGAAACTTCAATTTTCAAACATTAATTTTAAAAAATAACATAAAAATGGTTTATTCTTAAAAATTTTATCATTCACAATTATTTTAACCCTGCCGTTACTGAGAATGAAAAATTTAGATCAAATATCTATTCAAAAGTAAAAAAAAACCCCGCCTGTGTATTATAAATTAAATAACAATAAAATTAGAATTAAACATTCTAAATATTTTATATTGATTCTTCAAACCGAATTTTATGTTTTTCGTAATATTCATTATAATTTAATTTACAAACAAATAGCGCTGTTCCAAGTTAATTTTCTAGTTTCAAGTCAAAGCCTCTAGTTTACGTCGCCGGCATACTGTATTGGGTTGTGGTTGATATTAAAGCAAGGTCAGTAATCTGCGTCGTGGTAATTGGATCATCAGGTGTTTCATAGGCGCTAAGATGAAATTGAATCAATATCACCAAATAAGTAGTAATTGCTCCTGTCATCTGGGAAAATTTATTAAATTCGCACATTAATAAAAAAATATTTATCTATATATTTTTTAACATTATTAAACTTACCGCAAACAATAAAGTGAAATCGACATCGAAAAATCCACACGGTGAAAATTTTACAGTTTGATGCATTAACTGGAGAGAAAATAAATCCACCTATAGAGAAAATCATTTTCAGAAAAAAATAAAAAATATGATAAGTTATTGATAGTAATCAAATCAACTTTATCAATTAAATCGATACTAATCAATTAAAAATCAAAAACAAAACCTTAAGTTTCGTAATTACAAAGAATGAAAAAGTTGAAATATATTGTGGTAATATAGTGGTAATTAAATAAAATGTTTAAAAATTGTTGAAACTATTTTCTATCAAATAATGCGGATGTCAAAATATAAGATAACATTAAGAACTTTTTAGTATTTATTCGATACTATTTAAATCGCATTTTCAAATATGAATAATTAATTCGTCAATTAAATAATGCTTGAAAATGTAATTAAGGCCAAGGTTATTGATACAAGCCCACCCTTATAGGAAACTAGTTGTTGAACTAGCGTTCACTATGTTGAACGCAATGAACGCAATTTGATATTTTCTATCATATAATTATTGAATTAGGACTCAATAATGCTTGAATTTTTCAACTAGAAAAAAATTGTTTTAACGTGTTTCTGAAGATAATAATATTATCATTTAACCATATATAACGTCTAAAGAAAATTCTTTACTGATATTGCTATGTAGCTAAAAGCATCAATTATGGCTCTTAGTATTTTCATATATATATAGAATATATAGAAAGAAGCTAAGTAATAATAAAACTCAATGTAGGGCATCAACGCAACTGTTTTGTATCATAATTAATAGAGAAATAGTGCAAAATATTTTATAATATTGTTACAATTTTACAATATTCTATTAACAAAAACGTAGCATAAGTTATACTATTTTATTAACTTGGTATTTCATATTTTAACCAAATTACTTACAAAGTCTTTATATCTATCGTCAGTTGCTTCTGATTTGATTTTGTGCACTAATGGTCCTGTTTGTTTAGCCTGAAATTTGATTATATATATGTATATATATATATATATATATATATATAGGGTGGTCTTTAATATGGACATTTTCGAATTTCCTTGCTCCCAAGGGCCCAAATGGTTCCAAATTGATAAAAAACAATTCACTGAAAGTTTTAGCTCTTAATATTGTCTTTTAGATAGAGCGCAATTCAATTAAAGATTTGTATGAAAATAGCATGAAAAAAATTTGCAGAGCATCGAATTTTTACTTTTAATTCATTTGTTGCTAAGTTATACCTAAAATTTTTTTTTAATTTTCAATATTTTTTCCATGCTATTTCCATAAAAAGTTCGATTGAATTGCGCACTATCTAAAAGTTAATATTAAGAGCTTTCAGAGAAATATATATATATATATATATATATATATATATATATATATTTGGTGCTCTGCCTTAGAAGAAACACTGGCGGCGCTAGACCATGCATGGGGGACGGCGAAATTAGTTTGCAAGGCTGTCCTTTTTTCCCAGTTAAAAAAATGTTAAAAAACAAATTATAGTTAAACTAATATATGTGTAGATGAGATTTATTTCCAATGAAATAATTACACAAAATTAGCTTAACAAATTGCATAAGTTAAAATAGACGAACTCTTCAGCAAAAATAGTTGGTTCTCTAAATACATAACCCAAATTAGAAACACACAAAAATCAAATAGTTTTTCTCATCAGAAAAGAACACGATTTGTCAATTATATGGTTTATCGACATTTCAAATCATACCGACTAGCTTGACACCTTTTGAACTAGTTGTAGGTATTATTTTGTCTTGAGGCAAACTTCTTGATCTTTTTGACATTAGAATCCAAAATACTAGACCCAATCATTAAGAATTTGTTTAATTAGATACAATTTCAAACATTTTCATTCAAAATAGTTTTTTCTCCCAATGCAATTAATTACAGTTGGTTAATGAGTTTAATTAATCTATAATTATAGTAATTACAATCGAACGTACTCATGGCATAACCTGACGGCCCATTATTCCAAACTTTAGCGAGTTTTTATAATTAAACCATTTGTCGTAGTCCCATCAAATTTGATGTTAGTTTAGACTATGATTTCTATCTCTATACAATTTTTATTTTAAGAAAGTTTTTCACTATGAATCACGAAAACACATCGCGGCTAATCTTTACCAAAAACCAATCGGGACGATTCCCAACTGAAAATTTTCAAACAGTTTTTGAATTTTCAAAATTGATAAAGGGTTTTTGTCGAAAACCTAAATAAAAAAATGTACACTTGCATATCCAATAGTTTTAGCGTATATATTGATACGATAAATAAAATTAAAAACTAATTATAATTATTGTTTATACTTACCTCATTCACCGTCATGTGGCAAGATGCGCATAATAAAATCAATGGGACAATTGCAGGCAAAATCCAAAGTGCTGATGCGATAGTATACAAATCGTTAACAAACTTAGTATTTGTCAATATTGTAAATACTAAATACAGTTGTCCAGTAGTTGATATGAAAGCAACTGCAATATTTGCCAGCATGGAATAGCTGAAGGACTATATTAAAAAGTATATTAATAGATAGATAATTAATTCATTGTTTTAAAAACCGTTTTAAAATTGCATTTATTTTTTAGCAATTTTTAACTTACCGTACGACAAGTTAAATAAAACGCAAAAAAACATAAATGATGTTTTTTATGTTTAAGTTTCAAAGCTTTCTAAATCATATATGCCTGTATTCTATTGTATAGGGATAAGGAAAAAATAGTCAATGTTGATATGCATAGTAATTAACAGAATTTTGATACTGGTTTGCATAATTTTTATTAATTTTTACGCATAGCACTAACATTAAATTAAGTTTCAAAAGTTCACTTCTAAAAATTTTAAATCCATCAAATGAGAATTTTTCATACATAATTTTCAAATTTATTCAAAATTTATTCGTTATTATGATTGGTGAAATTCGCCACTATTAAAAATCAAATTATGTATTAAATACCTACTTTTTGAAACTAATTAAATAATTTAACATAATTTGATTATAACAATGTGAACAAGCTCTAGGGAAATAGGGCCAAAAAAATGGAAGAGCGAAAATCGAAAAATTGATATAATTGTCAAAAAACTTGTTCATCACAAAATTTACAATACAAAATCATTCCAATCAAACATCGGCTTTAAATTACTTAAATAAAATTTAATAGCTGATAAATTAATTTATAACTTACTTTGTCAATAAGGCCACATATGTCACAAAGCTCATCATGCAGCTCACATAAAAATGCTAACTGGTCTATTAAAGCATTTGAATTTAAAATTTTTGCTTTATTATAACTTTGGAATACAGGTTTGTAAGTATCAAAATTGGATGGATGATACAAAACTTCGGGGGCAATAGAATCGGCATCAGTGACATCAATTATTTTAATGTCATTATTGAAATTAGGTAGTGCATTATTTTTAAGATTTTTAGTAAATAATTGGTCAGAATGGGTTATTGTTGTAATAGTATTTTTTACAAGAGGTGGAGTTTGTTTTGTAACCGTTGTAAAATTTTTTGTACGATATTCCGCAGATTTTTCTTGTTTTTGACATGATTCACTTAATTTGCGCAATTCATTGTTTATTATGCAAAATCGTAGTCTCATTATAAAGGCCATATTAATCATTTGAAAATATCGCAAACCTGATGATCCCATGGGAAGGGCGTATGTTATCCATACCGGAACCGAATTTACATCAAAACGGATCATGTAAGCATACAATATTGTATTAATCAACAAAGAATACGTTATCAAGCCAGAAAGTAGTTGAATTATACAAATTTTTCGCCAATAATCATATCGAAAGTCATGTTTGATTCGTTTTATGATAATAGCATCGAATTCATATAAACGTCTCAATGCTTCCATTAATGAATTTTTAGCAAAAACTGATTCTATCCATGTTGCTGTTTGGGCCATGAATGCGCCTATTATTTGAAAACAATCGGTTGTTGTTTCAATACTATTATTGGCTTGAAATTTATCTGAGAAAAACCTATCCAAGGTGGCAAGATAGAAAACATATGTATTCAAACAAACTAAAGTCAATGGTAAAATATTATATATCCAAGAAGTGATAATTTTATGCGTTTTTAAACGAAATGTTGCTGTTCCCATCATTAAACATATGAGAAAGAATGGTGTTACAGAATTGTAAATTGTAGATTGTTGAGTCATGGCTCTCTCTTTTTATCGAAATAATCACTAATTTTATTCTTTATCAAATATAATTTAAAATTAAAAACTTAATTTGATCGAAAATAATACTGTCAACAATACACTCTGATTACAATCACACTTTGATATTTTATCTATTAAAATTTATTTAATATTACTTCTAAAATCACACCACTCTCTTCTATGAAAGCGCTTAGATACAAAATGCTTTAATTAAGTATATATTGAACTTTGCATATCTGAGTCTTCAATGGCTCTGTTTCATATATTCATTTTCATATAAAAGCGTCCCCAAAAATATATATATATATATATATATATATATATATATATATATATATATATATATATATATATCATATATCATAAATTTATTATATAAAGTAATAAAATTAATTCAATGTGACTTTACCGCAAGCGCGATGCGCGAAGATCAATAATGTCAAACAAATTACCTGCTTAATTAATGAGTCCATTAATATAATTGGTAATAAAATACAAATGTATTGATCTGGTATTAATATTGATATCGTAAAAAATTCAAAATAAGCAATTACCCATTACATAATTTGGATTTGTAAGAAACATTTTACTGGATGACAAATGAGAACAACTTTTAAAAAGTATGGAATATTTAAATTTTATATACCTTTATAAATTCTAATAAAATTAAAGACCTTTTTTAATACATTTTACTTCAGTGCAAGCTTTTCCAAACAAATTTAAAATATCAATAAAAGTTTTTGAAGTATAATCAAATTTAAAATATTTGTTTTATTTTTTTACCTAATTTAAAACTTTATACTAATACAGAAACATAGAACTTATCAATTGAGATAGCCACATATTTTTCGAATGTTAGCAAATTATTTTAAATTGAAAAATATATTTTGAATTTTAAACCATATTCAAACTAGTGATAATACACACATCTGATAGAAACAGTTAGTTATTATATAGGATAGGGCGGGGCACAAAGATCCAATTTGACTTTTAGTCAAACCCAATGAACTACGTCACAACACATAACACGTATCAAATAAATAACTATCAAACTATGTTCAGTAAAATTCCCAGTTAATGACTAATTATAGAATAGTGATTTTTTACTATTTTTATAAAATTTGTCATCTGTTCCTTTTTACCCCCAAAATGAGACAGCCAGGGGGCAAACATACCCAAAGTTTTATTTCTAACTTTAAAGAGATTTTACAATATAATTACTACATTCAACCGATGCTAAAGGAATAATAAAGGATAAATTTCATGAGCATATTTTTTACAAAGATAACACTGTATATAACTCTAATCTAGTATTTTGACAGAATTGTTCATCAGTAGAGTTCGAATAAATCTTAATTTATTTTATCTGTTGTAAAATTGCTTTTTTTAACTCAATACTTCTTATTTACTATTTTTTTATTGTTTACATCTTTGCCAGGGTGAAGGTTCAGTTGGTCTTTTTTACCCACGCTATGAATTTAAAGACCTTTTTTAATAAATTTTACTTCAGTTAATTAGCTTACCCACGCGTAAGCTATTATAGAAGTTATATAAAAACATCTATTGAATTTAACTAAAAAATAACAATACATGAATTCGGCAACAAACATTAACTTTGTTCATTTAATTTTAATTTAATTTTAAATGAACCAAATTAAGTGACATAAGTATATAAAATGTAGTGTTACTACATAATGTAAGTCTAATTCGTTGTATACATGTATCTCATACAATTTCAATAACAAAAGCATATAGATTATCAGAACATGTGACATTTAAAAGTTCAGAGATTTATATATAATATTTAATCTTGAACAAGAAAATTTAATGATCCTAATATGTACAGGCATATTTTATTTGTGTTATATTTAACAGTCTTGAGTATGGTCACAGGGGAAATGAAGCCAAAAAAAAAAGTTGTCGGTGGAATAAGCACAAATATTGCAAAATACCCATTTACAATATCATTACGAAGTAAAGAGGAGTAAGTATTTTTTTTTAAAATAAAATCTGATAACTTAATCTACGGCGTTTACAAGAACTATCTTGTAATTGTGAAATCAATTTTAGATTACGATACTGAAGAATATAATTTTTAAGTAGCTGTGGACCAATAATTATATAGAAGGATGGCGTTGAAAATATTTGTTATATATAAAATACCTTTTTTTAGGCAATTCTTTTATCATTTTTGGAGTAAATTTGTCCATACCCGACGAAGATCTGTTTTCATCTTTTTTATTTCACATAAGACATCATTTAGTGAAAAATGCCCTAACGGTGTTGAATGAATGGGTTGATTTACGAAATTGTTAATTAAATTATTCTGGAAAATATTTCGAGCGCTAAAATGCAACTTAATAAGATTTAATTCACATAGAACCGATTGAATTTTTATTCTGGAAAAGATGTATAAAACAAACAAATAGTCAATAAAAAAGTTAATTAGTTATTCCAATTCTGCTGATGAATATTTCTGGCAAAATACCATATCTAGGTTATATGCAGTACTCTATCTTTGTAAAAAATGTGCCCATGTGCCATGTGCCATGAACATTAGTACGGAACCCATATAATTGTACACAAAATTTGTATCTATTATTATAATCTTTATAAAATATCTGATAATACGATGTGCACATGTCTAACATTCAGTTTTGACCGCCAAATGGCATTATTTTTCACTTTTTTTATTCTACAAACAAATCACCATTTGTTCATTTCGTCAATACGAGTAAAATGTTGTTTGAATTATTTAAATCGGACGCTCCGTTATCGCAAAAACTAAAATACCAATTTTGGCACTTTTTTCCCGTATCTCCGAAACGGCTTAGACCTGCCGTTGCCAAAAACTAATCAGCACGTCTCCTTATCAGTAGGAATCAAAATCAAAATTATTCAAATCGGTTAATCCGTGTTGGCAAAATCGTTGACAAAAACTATCCGCACACACACACATACATCCATATTTTCTAAGGTATGTCAAAATGTTCAGAAACCTCTAAAACGTAAAGATGTATAAAAAATTTCATTTTCGTTTTTTGCGATTACTATAACTTACCCTACGGGAAGTTAATATTTCATTTATAAAATAAACTGATGATAAGTCTACTTAAAAAATAGACTTATCGTCAGCTTATTTTATAAATACTATAGATATAATGTTTGCATAAATAAATTGATATTATAGTCATATGTGTGGTGGAATACTAATTAAAGAAGATTGGATTTTAACAGCTGCGCACTGTTTAATGATGGCCTCCGAATGCTACATGAAGCTGAGAAAAGCTATATTTTATCAGGCACTTGCAGGTAACTAACACGATATTTCTCTAAAAACTTCAATTGGTAATGATTTTAACTGTTTACCATAAATCATTCATTTATTATTCAAAATTATAACTATTAATTTCGTTTTTGACCATAAGATTTCACTCGATAGTTAAAAGGTGTGTGATATTTTTTCTATTGATGAATTGTTTTAAATTTGTAATTTACATACTAGTATAATATACATAAAATTATCCAAATAGCATTAATAAATTCAACTACAGTGTATAATATTTTCTAAAAGTAGGACAAACTTTAATGGGTTCTTTAACTAAAGGTAGTTAACATTAACTATTGATCATGGTGTAAAATATCATTACCATACGAGCAAGTTTTAAAAAACATGTAATGTGAAACTTATTGAAGTTTATATTTATTAAAAGCACTATTTATAACATTTGCTATATTTAGATCATAATATGTTTTCAGGTACTACATTTTCTGATGATAAAACGAAAGTTGGCCAAATAAAACAATGCATTTATTTCTATACACATCCTGAATATGATCCAGAAACTCTTATGAACGATATAGGCTTGGTCCAAATAGAGAGTCCTTTCCGAACAGGAGAAAATGTACAAGTAAGATTATACATAATATATCTTTTCTAGTAAAAGCAAACAAATGTTTTATAAATAAAATAATTAATTAATGTTAATTAATTAAAAGTGTTGATAAATTAATGTTTTGTTTTAACAAAAATAGTTTTTTATAAATCTTGTAAATCGCTGAAAACTGTATTAATTTGTTTTAACATTTTTATAAATTTGAAAACTGCAATTATTTAAAAAAAAAATTAAATTTTAAGAAATCTTAATTATTTTGAATTTTAGTATATTTGATAAATCAGCTGCAAGATCAAAGAATTTTTCTGATTTTTTAAGATATGATTTTTAACTGTTTATTAAAAAAATAAAGTCTCCGCTTTTAATGAATACTAATCAATGTGAATTGCCATTGATGTCTTTCAAGAAACTTATAATTTCTATAATTGTATTAATTATACTGCAAGAAAAAGCGCTTGGGTGTACTAAAAGTGCGGCCCATTATTTTCATCTTTAATGAATTTTTATAATTAAACCACTTGTCGTAGACGCATAATATTTTAGGATCTACGACATTATCATTCGTTTTGAAAAATTATAAACTCTATCGCTATAAAAATTTATTACAATCGTAAAAAAATTATACTTACTAATAGTTATACTAATGCCAATTAACAGTCAATGAAATGCCAATGAAAGGCCAAATTTTGGCTCACATGCACACATACTTTTTCCATTTATATAGTTATTAAATCGGATTTTCTGGCAAAAACATTAACTTCTTCTTTAGGAAGTTAATGTTCATCTAAACTTCCTCAATCATTGACCAGATTTTTCACAGCACCTAATCCAAATCATAAAACAATAAGCTTGATATTTACTTCTCTACAAAAATTTGTTTTGAACAAAAAACTAAATCATCATTTAATTTAGATCCTAAACCAGTTTTGTAAACCATCTTGGACAAAATTCATGATTCTCATCCTACAACTTGTCGCAAATATTGGATTACATAATTGTCAATTGGCCTTGCAGTAAAACACTAATTAATTATAGTATCGACACAGAGAACAAATTGGCAATGCACTGAAGCAATTGAAAGACACTGTTACAAAAATTGTACGCAAAAACCAATCCACTGATGCTGAATACAAAATCAACTTTAATAAATACCTCAAAAGAAATTCTATCAAAAATCAAATTTATTTATTAAATTTTAAAATCAAATTTATTTATTTATTAAATTAAATTAGTTGTGTATGGCATCGTGCCTTAAGGCAAGGGGCCGTCCATTAATCACGTGAGGTTTTTAGGGGGAGGGGAGTTTGACAAAAAAATCACGAAATAGCACGTGGGAAAAGGAGGGGTATAGTAAGATATCTCGTGTATTTATTTTTTAACTATTGTTTTTTAAAAAGTTCAGACATTTTCAAAAAAAATTCGCAAATTGTACAATTTTTTCACGTAACTAAAAATACACGTAATGTTTGGTGAAGGAGGGGGGAGGGATAATATTAAATATCACCATGGATCACCAAGAGGGAGGGGGGATCCGAAAATCCTTAAAAACTCGCTCACGTGATTAATGAACGCCCCCCAAATGGCTGGAACTTCCCGTACCTTAATGAATTATTCGAGTAATATTAAATGTTTTCAAATAGATTATTATAAATAATGTAACTTTTATTATTCTTATTTTATAAAAATTAAATAAACAAAACTTAATCAATCGGATTTAAAATGAAAAACATTGTCAAATATTTCTAAGTATTTAATAAACTGAATTGCAAATTGAAAATTTCCCCAAAACCAACCGTTTCGTTAACACACGCAAAAAGTATTTTAAATCATTCAAATCGGATGCTTAGTTCTCTCAATTTAAATCATTCAAATCGTATGCTTAGTTCTCTCAAACATTGCCATTTTTTGCACCTTTAACTCTATATCTCCGAAACGGCTGTACCTGCTTTTTGCCAAAATCTAATCACCACTTCTCCCCATCATTACGAATCGAATGTTTTTTGGATCATTCAAATTAGTTGATCCGTTCTCTTAAAAACTAACGCTTTTAACACTTTTTGCTCCATATCTCCGAAGTCGCTGAACCTGTCTTCGATCTTTTTTGAACCATTTAAATCGGCTCATCCGTACGCCCGAAATCGACGACGAAAAATTGTCTCCACACATACATACACACATCCATTTTTTCTGAGGCCTATTACTATAATTTATCCTACGGGAAGTTAAAAATTTTTGGCAGTAATTACTGAGTGCTTCTTAAAAGTTAACATACTCGTATTGGTGCATCAATGGCGTTCAAGAAAATTGAAACATAATATTGATTGATAAATTTGAAAACATCATTTCTATCATAAAAGAAATATTCTAATAAAAGTAAACAAGATTAGCATAAAATTCCTTAGCGGGTACGAAATTACGTGTTTTCTACACGGTCAATTAGATACTGCCTCTCCTAGAGACTTTTCATAATCATCAGCATTATACGTTTTTTCTCTATATGATAAACAGCAATAAATATTTAATTTAATACTACAAAATAATTTGTTTTATTATGATAAGCATATTGTAAACCGCGTGTGTAAAATTGAAAAATATAACCAATAGTGGTTAACTTGATAAAGCAGTAAGTGATTAATAATATTAATAAATCAATAATTCACAGGCCTACAAAAAATTTATTTTGTTTGGTGCATCAAATGTTAGAGCTGATTCTTATAGTACTTTTTGCGCTGATTTCAAATTTGCAAGCCATTTTTTGTATCAGCTCTAGTTTTGAATTCGGAAAGAAGTTGCCGAAACCAGGTCCATTGTAAGTAGTTACGGAAAAGAACTTTTTACAGTGTCAACTAATGTCCCAACTAAGGCCGAATGAGTCTTGTAAGTTTGTATGTACGAGTAGACATATATCATTAAAATAACATTCTGAATAGTATTACTATTTTCTACTTTCATTCCTTATATATCATATATTTCATATCTTGAAAACTAAAGCTCATAAAAAAACCAATGTCATTTTTTAAATCAGCGCCCCAAATATACTAAAAAACAGCATTAAAATCGTTTGCACCATTTTCTTTGTTGGCCTGTGAATTAATCAAATTGTACATCTAAATTTCAGGTCGCAAAAATATCCAACTATTACGAGAAGTATGCTGGTGATGATGTGCCTGAAAATACCAATGAAATTTGTACAGTAGTTGGCTGGGGGTCTCTCGGAAAAAATGTTAAGAACCATGTGACAACGCTTCAAAAAGCCAATTTGGATGTTCTACCAATAAGAATATGTAAAGAGAAACTTAGTGAGTACATAGTTCCTGACAAGGATATGTGCTTACTATCAGCAACTGTACAAGGTAATTAATACTATGATAATTTTTCATGTTATCAAATTATTCAACTATCAACTATGAGTAACTTCCAGATGTATATAAAATATCAACTTAATCAATAAGAATTGAGATTTAGCAACTATTTCATTTTTATGATTTTTACTACCACTTTCGCACTATTTTAGGAGTTGTTGTGTACAATTTACTTTATATTGACAATTAATTATGAAGAAACGGTTCTTAGGTTTTTTATCAAAATCTAGTCAGCGTAATTTTCACTTGGAATCTTTCGAACATATCATAAATATGAAATCTGAGAGAAAAGTGATGGTTAATGAAACTTATTGTTAGTAAAAATCAAAGATGCCTTTTGAAACGGAACCTTCTAACATTCTATTTTAATCCCGGGCAAATTTTTGCACAGCAAGTACGAAATAACTTCGCTTATATAAATCATAACGTTATATACATTATGAGAATCTTATATTCACAATATTTTGTTAATAAGTGAAGTAAGTTAATAATTTTATAATTTTTTTTCCCAGGTTCTTGTTACGGGGACTCAGGTGGCCCAGTGGTTTGTGAGAGTTCTGAAGTCGAAGCGATAGTTTCAGGATCAACTGGAGACTTTGATTGTGCCATACCTCATTTGCCGTATCTCTTTGTACGAATAATGCCATATGAAAATTGGATACATAATATTATAGAAAATAAGCCCAAAATGAGCAATGATGATATACGTTATTCAAATAAAACTAAATGCACTAGCTACGATAAGGGATTTCAAGGAAAGCATGATACAATCAATGAAGGAAATAAAGGAAATCATTTCTGCAGCAACATGAATTTCGTCGTTGTTATTCTACTTTTTATTATATATTCTTAAATATTATATAATATAAGCTATCAAAAAAGCTAGATGTTATGATTAATATATTTAAATATAGTTCGAATAAAAGTTCAGTTGAATCTTTGAAGTATTTATTGGTTTTACTCAAAAATATATTCATAAAACATTTCGTCGTATTTTTTCCCAGAATTCGGTTTAGAATCTTTTATTAAGATTTTATTGTATTTTGTTAAGAGTTACATATATTTTTAACTTCCCGTAGGGTAAGTTTTTGTAATCGTCCAAAAATCGAAATTAAAATTTTTGCATTTCTCGACGTTTTGAAGGTTTCTGAACATTTTGGCATACCTCAGAAAAAATGGATGTGTGTGTGTGTATGTATGTATGTATACAATTTTTTGGGCGCACGGATCAACCGATTTGAATTGTTCAAAAAACATTCGATTCCTATTGATAGGGAGATGTGCTGATCAGTTTTTGGCAAAGGCAGGTCCAGCAGGTACGGAGATATAAAGCAAAGAGTGCAGAAAATAGAAATCGAGTTTTTGAGAGAACAGAACATCCGATTTGAATGATCTAAAAAGCATTTATAGCGGGTTGTCAACACGCATCGCGGCTCGTCAACACGCATCACATGTTACTGGACAGATTGGCCCATATAGTGACAGCACTGAGAAAAACAAAAGGAAATTCAAGTGTCAGATCGTACTTGGTTTTTGTTTCTCCCTAATAGTTTTTGCTAAAAAATGTATGATTCTTAAAACCTTTCTTTTTAATTATAAATACGAAAATACCAATAACATTTTATTAACGATTAGTATGACAACACATAGTGTCGTGGATATTAATCATATATAAAATAAACGAAATATAAATAATATTTTATGAAATTTATTATTGTCTATCATTTTGGTATTTAATATGGACCACACCTCCATACATTCAATTTGTAATGATTGGGAAAAAAGATGATTTTGCAGAAGCAGGCTCAGCCATTTCGAAGATACAGAGTTAAATGTGCACAAAATGGCAGATTTTGAAAGAACTAAGCGTCCGATTTAAATGATTCAAAGAACTTTCTGCTTGTTTTAATAAAATAATTGATTTTGGAAAAAAAATTGTTGATTTTAATTTTAATTCTGACTAAAGTTCTAATATACTTTAAACAAATAATTAAAATATAATATTTATAATAGGATAATAATTTATATATTCAGTTTATATAATTCTTATAAATATTAGACAATGTTATAGTATTTATTTATAATAGTCTATTTGAAAACATTTAATATTCCTCGAATATTTCGTTACGGTACGGGAAGTTCCAGCAATTTGCCTTAAGGCACGATGCCATACACCCCACTAGTTTTATTTGTATCAGAAAAGATTATTATTGTTTAAATAATTGTCAAAGTATTCAAAGATTATACTAATATAAATAATGTTATTGCAGTATTCGTTTTAATCAAGACCCGCTTTCTATAAAATAACTCGATATCACACGCTCCATAATTTTCACTTTATTATAATATTGCGTTTGGTCTTGCACTACGTTATTGCAGAAACTCGTTACATAAATCATAGAGTTTGGTCGAGCACCCCAAAAATAACATGTATTCATTTACAACCCTTATGCACATGCAATGCGCCGTCAATTTCCAACTGTGAACACACCCATCTTGCAAATTCGAATGGAAGCATTCCTTTTCAAAAATAACCGCACAATGCATTCATACTACATTGCCTTCACCAATTGAATCAAGCCTCTGCCAGCCAAAGTCAATCCCATTCTTTTATTTGTAACAATCCCTATCAAACCTTAAATTCCCCTACCTCTCAAAAACTATAATGGGGCATTCCTACTAAAGTGTCACTTACAAATTTCGATGATTAGTATTGATCGAGACTGCAAACGCACCGGAATATATTTTAGCGAAATGGAGATTAGATTTGAAACACCTTCGACGTGTAGTTCGAATATTTTTAGACCTTGGATTAGTAGTGACAAACAAAAAACTTGTGTAACAGTGCCAACGAAAGGTGATAACAATAGTCAAATGGTAGAATCGACATGCAAATTGACATCAAACTGTGGAAAGCCATTCTCAACTAATTTACCAAACCATGATCCTAGAACTGCAGGGTATCATACATCAGCTTTTCAGCTATGGCCTTGTCCAGAATTTTTGCCAGATCCGCATTTACCGGCTCATTATTTTGAGAACGTTCAATTGTCATATATGATTAGTCAACATCTTCAAGAGGAAAAGTTGTCGAAAGTATTTCGCGCACGAAAACAAAGACCACGAAAGTTCAAGTGCCCCCACTGCGACGTCCGCTTTTCCAATTCCGGTCAGCTTAGAGGACATGTACGAATTCATACCGGTGAGTTCAATTTTTATATATTCAAATAAAAGGACATTTTATTATTTATTTATAAATAATAAATATATAAGTGTTGGATAAAAGTTATTAGTTGGGATTCGTGCTGATTAGTGGTGTTAAAAATCGGCCAGGGCGTTTCTTCGTAATTAACAGTTATTTTTTTCTCTTGGCGATCTTGATGAATACTTTTATGATGGGGTTCATGGTCACAAAGAACATCCTAAAATATAATATCCCTGTGAAACTATACAATTTTAAAAGCTTAGCTCAATAAAGTTTGATATACCGATTGCAAAAATTTCAAAGCCGTTTGTTGGAAATCTAATTTGCGTTGATTAATTTCACGCGATCGATTGAACCATTGTTTTAGAATATGCAAAAAATTCTTTTACGTTTTCACACAAAAGCCAGAACTGATTTTGAAAATTTAAAAACTGTTCAAATGGTATCAGTTGGAGATTGTGCTTATTAGTTTTTCGCGAAGTTCGCTGGGTAGTTTTTCTCATAATTAACTAAAAAAAATTTTGGCTTTGATGAATTTAATAAATGTTTTTGTGGGGATAGAGATCCTGGTCTTAACAAACGTCCTGAAACATAATAGGCTTACGAAAAGTGGTTTAAATAAAAATTGATTTACATTTAGAATAATGAGCGTTTTTAGGAAATATACTGTGTATGTTCAAAGCACATATTAACGCATTATAATTAATACAGTCACATATATTATAAATCTTTGAAAGATATCAGTTGGAAAAAAATAGTTAAAATAGTTCCCGTACCTTAATGACATATTTGAGAAATATTAAATGTTTTCAAATAGATTATTATAATTATTTGAAGTATTATAAGTGATGTTTAGAACTTTAGCGAGAATTAGAATTAAAATCTGAATTATTTTTCGATATTCAATAATTTTTTTTAAATTAAAAAAAATTTTAAAAAAAAATCCTAAAGCAATCGTTTCGTCAACACAAGCAGAAAGTTTTTTAAATCATTGAAATATGATGCTTAGTTCTCTCAAAAACTACAATTTTTGGCACATTTAGCTTTGTATCACCACTTCTCACAATTATTACGAATCGAATGTTTTCTTGGATCATTCAAATCCGTTCTCTTAAAAACTAACATTTTTAGCACTTTTTGCTCCATATCTCCAAAGCCACTGGACCTGTCTTTGCCAAAAACTAAACAGCACATCTCCCTATCAATAGGAATCGATTGCTTTTTGAATTCTTCAAATCAGTTCATCTATACGCCCGAAATCGTCGACGGAAAATTGTCTCCACACATACACACACACATACATTTATTATGAGGTATGCAAAAATGTTCAAAAACCTCTGAAACGTGAAGATATGCAAAAAAAATGTTTTCGATTTTTGGCTCATTACTACAACTTACCCTACGGGAAGTTAATTAACTATTGATTAACATCTGGCTTTAAGACAAATGCATTGGCCTTTACTATGTATTGAATTTTTTTTAAAAAAAATATTTATTATTTATTTATTTGATATAATTCATACATACTCTCAGTCAGACAATTGTTCTGGTATGAGAGATCACAGCAATTATAACAAAAATATAATCTAAATTTTGTGTAACAGACTTACATTAAGACATCTATATATTTTTACTTATTACTATTATACACACATATATACACAGAACGCTTGCGTACATACATATGTACTAATACTTAATTGTAATTAATATTTTACAGAACAGAAGTAATATAGAATTTAAAATAAGGAATTTTATCTCATTTATTTCATTTATGTCTTATGTAATTTTTCAATTTAATTTTGAAATTGTTTAGGTCCGTCATTGTCTTTAGTTCGTCTGGTAGTTTATTGTAAAGGCTGCTTGCACTTCTCAGAGGACTTGCAAGTCCTTTTACTAGTTTTTGCATGTTTCATGTGGAAGTTTCGGTTTTGTCTCGTTTGATGGTCGTGTATATCCTGGTTTGTCTCTATTGTGGTTCAAGTTTTGATTTTGTTATTTTTTATTTTGAATATTAGTATACATTTTTCTATTTCTATTGTTTTGTGTAGTAGCATGTTTTTTGTCTTTTGTAGAAGTTCTTTTGTCGGAGTAAGGTAGGGATAATTGTAATTTAATGTAAAGAATAATCTATCAATGCAGATAATAATATTGTCAATTAAATGTCAACAATTGGCTTATTTCAGGAGAACGTCCGTTCCGTTGTGACAATTCGCAGTGCGGGAAGACCTTCACGAGAAACGAAGAATTGACGCGGCACAAAAGGATACACAGCGGGATTCGGCCGCACGCCTGCAATGTGTGTGGCAAGAAATTCGGAAGGAGAGATCATTTGAAGAAACATACCAAGATTCATATGGTTCAATTCAATAACATGATTGAATCGACTCCGATATTTGTGCCACTGTTTCCGTACATTTAAAAAAAAAAAACACATTATTAATCGTTAACAATGATTTGCGCAAGTGGAATATCTTTTCGACGTTATGATGATTATTAGAAGCAAATAAAATATATTACGGTTAGAAATAATAGCACAAGAGTAGACAGTGGTGTTATGCTAATATTTTTTTTCCGGAACGCTAAAATTAGAAAACCGGTTCAAAAACCGATTTCCATGTTTGTTCCGGTTCCTTTCGAAACGGAAAGAAATTAAAATCATTACAAATTCCATTTTGTGCACATATATGTTTGTTTATTACAATAATAGGAACGTTTAATAAAAATTAGTTAAATTATAATTTATAAAATTCACTTTCTGTATGTAGCATTTTTTTTAAGCCTTTTTTGCCGGAATGCGTTCCGGTGCGTTAAGGCTCGACAACACCACGAAGAGTAGAACGATTATGAGTTTTTGAAATAAGCACAATTGCATTTTTGTTTCTTATAATTATTATTTAGTTATTAATTTACTATCATGTACACACATTGTACAATGATCTGAAGTTTAATATCAATCTTTCTTTGATTATTTGTACGATTAGCTTTGTATAAAAACCCCACTACTGCCCAAAAAGTAACATCATTAATGAATGAAAAGAAGCAAGTATCCACTTTCTTTTTTTGAAAAAAATTTAATAGTCATTTGAACTTTTATTTATTTTCTTAAATATTTTTAATGCATTAATTTGTTATTAAGTGACTGTTATTTTATTATTTATATGTAAAATATTTTTAATTTTGTGTGAGACAAGATCATTAAAAAATAATTATTGTAAAAAAGGCAAATAATAATAATTTGAATTCAACTTGAATAGCTATTCCTCGTTTAACACACTGTTTTCGCATAAAAATATGAAATTATCCTTATTATATATTTGAATCTCACATTTATTATTTATTAACTTCCCGAAAGAGAAGTTTATGTTTTCATCAAAAAATACGATTTGCTAATTTTATGTTTTCTCGACGTTTCAAGCCATTCTGAATTGAATGAGACCAAATTTGGAAAAAGTATGTGTGTGTGTATGTATGTGAACAGATTTTTTTAATATCTATATTATTTCTTTTACAAACTTAAATATTTTTATTATAAAATTTGTTAAGAAACTTAGAATGCATTTATATTTTAAATTTCAATCAAAACAATGGTTCAACTATTAATATAATATTTATGAATGTGTATAAAAATTAATTACTTTTTTATGTTATCACGAGACTGTATTTTTCATGGACAAATAGAACAAAAGTGAATCAATAATCTAGTTATTAGAAATGTAAATAATAATACTCTTATTGATAGTGAATGCATCTCAGTAGTATTTAAGTTCAATTGTGGTATTTCATATTATTATTTATATAAAAGAAGTGAAATTAAAATTACATAATATATATAAAAAATAAATTTATTCAAGATTTTTTTGTGTTTAATTTAAGTTTACCATAATTATGCATTTTTCTAAACATTTCTACTCCTCAGTATTAATCGAACATTATTAAGAAGTCAGTATTCCCTACCCTTAAGAGTGCATGTTTTCGCCGGAAAATTCAATTTGCTGATGTTTCACGTTTGACTTCGAAATTAGAAACATTGTGTGCAAAACTTTTCGTTAACATTTTCTCTAAGAATTTTGAATCGATTTTGTAAATTCAGAAAATTTCGAAAGACATCAATTAACAATCATATTGATTAGTTTTTGGTAAGGGTTGTCCGGGTCGTTACTTCGTAATTAATTGGTAAAATGTAAAATGATTCTCTTAGGACATACACCGAGTATGTACTAGACGCGTGTTCGTACAGTTGAAAAGGAGAGTTCTTACGAATCCAAGAAGTTCATAAAATCGGATGTGGTGCTCTAATAATAAGACAAAATGCCACTGACTCCGTTTTTGATTTTTTATTTTTATATTACTTGAAAGTTAAAGCAAATATAACAAAATACAATATTTTTCTCTTGATGATAGGAATCCATATCAGACAGCTAGTAGATTCGACGTTAGAAAGGACCCTATGATCGCTGATGGGTTCTCACTGGTAAAAGTTTTCACAGGGGTTTCGAAAATTAAATAAAAGGGGGACCCACAAAATGGCAGTTCATAATATATATATATATATATATATATATATATATATATATATATATATATATACTATATGACCCGACAGACTTTGTCGTGTACCCACGTCTACAATTCAAAAGTCCCAAACTTTTTAATATCCTATCCTATACTTTTTAATATCTTATTTGATGTCTTCTGCCTTCGTGATTCATTTATGGTCTCAGAATAAGCAATATAAGAAATTCAGAAAAAATATAGTATCTGCGGTAAAAGAACATCATCACACTTGATTTTACCACACAATATAATTGCTTCAATAATTTATTCTATAATTTTCATAACCTCGTACGACATATTAGTTGCTTTTTGGCAAATATAATTTCTAAAGTACATTTTTCTTACTAATAATTGTGAATTAATTTGTAAAATGTAATTCATATGAGCACCCTTCAATCTAATTGTAAGATTAACTTGCTAAATATTCCATATCCAATGCCAAACAAATGAGTTTTTGACACATGAAACTAAATTCTTTGTATTGTTATTTACTGTAAGGTTATTGCTAATTTTGTAAAGTACACCCAAATGCAACATGCATAAGTTTAAAAAAATAATGTATATGCAATTTTGAATTTATTGCGTTATTAATTAAACTGAATTATATAATTTCATCTACCAAATATACTGTTGACTGTATCTTATATTATTTTAATTTTTGGCACATCTCAGCTGCTTTTCGGCAATTATATTGCAAACTTCACATTTATCTTGTATATTGTATTCTAATATTTTCTAGGCTCATAATTTCAGCTAAATTCAAATTTCAAGTGAATCGACATTTCTACCAGTTGACAGATCAAATGTTATCAATGTCAAACAATGATAAGTGTTTTTTTTTGTAATTTTTGCCATTTATTTCTACAGTATTACTATAGTTTTATCGTTCATTAAATCTTAAAAATTTCTTTTGACAAACTCTAAAAATAATTATCAAAATCCGAATAACCGTTTAGGAGAAGTATCAAATCATACACCCGTACAGAAGAATTTTATATATAAGATATGAATTAAATCATAAAACAGAATTCATTGTATGATTTAACTAACTTAAAGCAGATCATTAAACATTACTTACTCACAATTATATATATTCTTTCCGTGTTAGACTTTCTATTGGCTTAGTTGTTAAAACGCTTCGAATCAGACGTTGTAGTTTTGATATCCAACTCAGGCAGGCTGATGTCAAGCAGTAGTGACACAGCATTTCACTTGGCAATATAGAAGACCATATGTTTTCAAATGAAAATAGCTCTTATTCGACGTTGCTGCATCTATAAAAATTGATCAGAATTGCAGAAATTGTAATAATAATTTTTTTTAGGAAGTAAGCACAATAGCTCATAGCACTCTCAATTGCTTTGAATAATACATACAAAAATAATTTTATCACGTAAAATATATTGTATCACCAATCGATCTATATGACTGGAAATTGATGAAATAATAATGATGACAATAATAATAATGATAATAATAATAAGAATTAATAATAATTATAAAAATGGTTAAATTCAACAGTATAGTATAAGATAAGCTAACTTAGATTTATAGGGTTAGTTCTATACGTTCTGTCCTTTTGAGTCTAAAAGGATGAGTGATGTCATACAATTCTGTAGCTAATTTATTTGGATGATATGATATTTTATGTTTATAATTTTGAGGATTTTTTCTTAATATTCAGAATATAATGAAATTTTCTTAAATCTTATATATAAAAATGGAGCTCTCTTTCAAATGTCCGAATAAAACTCGGAAACGGCTGAATCGATTTGGCCAGTCTTAGTCTTGAAAAATTCGTGCCAATTCAGAGAAAGTCCAAAAGGTGAGAAATTATTTCAAATCCGCGCAGAAACTTTACATTTTTAATTTGAAAATTTTTGTAGAAGCGTAATTTAAATAAAACAATGGACGGTGGCAATTTCGTGAAATGTCAAACCCTTTTGACAGATGATGTTCAATTACGTTTAATAGGATGTTTTACGCGAATATTATTTATTTATGATAAATTTGTAGTAAGTAGTTTTGTTTGTAGTTTTATTTATATACAAAAACGTTAGTAAACGGGCCGCAAGTGTTACTAGAGACTCAAAATATAAACTTTTTTGATATGTTAATATGAAAATGCACTTTTTGGCATATTTTTCTCAAACACGGTGCTCTGAAAAATCTCATTTGTATAATTATATACTCATTGGTATTTATAAAACATTTTCTAGGTTATATTATTTTTTATTTATCTTATTTAAATTCAGAACCTAAATTTGGTATCGATCAAATGGACATTTTGTCGAATAATATTTTTCCAGTTATAATTTCCCAGAATTTATCGCAGAATAGATAGTAATATATGAAGGTCCGAGATTAAAAAGGTCCACCACCGATGTGCCAAAAATCAGTAAAGTTAAGCATTGTTTAACAACAATATTTGAAAGTAGAGGAAAAAAGATGTATAGCCAGCTACAAACTTGATTTGAAAACGATAATCTTTGAAATGGGGGAGTTAAACGGTAATCTTTGAAAATCCATAATAAAAGTATTTTCTTCCGTTGGTAGTTTTAGCATTAGTTAAAAATGTAATTATTTTGTAAAATACCTTTAAAATTATAAAAAGGCTTTAAACCTTTTGCCATCTGCCCGTTACAAGTTACCCCGCATATAGGATAAAAAGGTCTAGATAAAAAATTTTTGGAAGGCATCAAACAAGCACATTTCTACAATGATGAAGTAGAAGTCAGTTTACTGAACATAGTCCGATAATTGTTCGTTTGATATGTCTTATTTGTTGTGATATAATTGTTATGGTTTTCACAATATAGTTTATATTTGCTCAAAGTCAAATTGGACCTTTGTGTCTCTCCCTGT